GGGGGGAGGGGGGGAGAAAGACTCTGCTGCATTGCCATGTAAAAAGGTTTTACCCCGTCCATGTCCCATGTAACTGTTGGTAATTCGAATTCTGATGGAATTAAAATTATTAAATGAGTGAAATAAATTCAAATAACTCTGAATTACCTGGGGCTGGTCAGTTTGATGATGAAATCTTTTTTTTTTTTTTAATAAAAAGCTGTCAAAAGCTGTCTTCTCCTCGTCGGGGAACAGCTATATATTGTCACACTGTGAATCGGAAGCGCAAAGGCGGAAAAAGACAAAAAAAAGAAAAAAGAAAAAAGGGAAAGAAGTAATGAAGGAAAGCCCCACCTGTTCATCACCTCTTACGTACATATATATTTTTCTCTCATGATGAAATCTCACGGCCGTCGCCTTTGGGGGGAAGGGGGGGGAGGAGGAAAAGGCTTCTACCCACCCTGAGGATCATTTCCAATTGGCAACCGACTTCAGGGGGGGGGAGGAATAAAACATTGCTTCGGGGCAACCCCCTGGACCGCATCAGATCCAGACGTCCGAATCTGGTCCAGACCATGCAGATGTGGGTGTCCAGATGACCCCAGTGTTGGGGCCGCCAGGGGTTCGCCACAGCCATGTTCCTGAATGAGTTTGGCTGTAATTCTCACGAGATACATCCACGAAAATCCTCTTGTGAATATACCCTCTCCCCCCAGACCGGTGGTTCAACGACCTCCTGGCTGGTACTACTTTTTTTTTTCCCTGAGACTCTTTTGAGTCTAGTATTCGAGAGAGAGACCTGCATACGCTAAATCGTGACTGTGAGAGAGGAAGTTTCTTTGTTTCTTCTTCTTTCTCTTTATTTTCTATGAGCTGCAAAAAAAAAAAAAGTGAGAAGGGCTCTGTGATTTGTTGTTGACGGAGCCAGTACAATATATGGTAGAAGGAAAAAAACAAAAAACATACATGGTAGAGTTGGCGCCAGTGAAATGCTATGGAAATCGGCTTTGTTGTGTGAATAGATCACCACGCGAAACTTCACTGTTCCCTCAAGTTCAGTTTGCACGCTTAGGTAGTGGATCCAAAGTGCTGAGTTTCGTTCCCTTTCTCTCTTATATAACAAGGGGCATACTCACACTACCGTAGGACTTCTTCTACCACGCTCTGGACGTGATTGCCGCCAAATACATCCACATCGGGCCGTAATTGCCGTGAGTGAGATACATCAAACGAAGTGCTACTGTGAGTATGCCCTGAGTTTCGTCTTGATCTTCCCCCCCCCACATGTCCATGATTTTTTTTTTTTTCCTTTTTATCTTTTTATGTCCATGACTCCGAATTGACAAATTAGACAATCAATTGTCTCCCATAACCAGTAGGCTCCTATAATAGTAAATAGGCGGAGAAGGGGGGGGGGGGGGGAGAGGGGGAGAGTGGAATAGTACTGCATAAAGGACGAAATTCACTCATGCCCATACATGGAGCGACAATCAAGGGAAGCACATTTTAAAAAAAAAGAGATTCAAAAATCGAGGGAACCGCTCACCTCCGCACAAGACCATGTGATGAACTTCAAAAAAAAAAAAAAAAGGAGTCCGTGAGGTCCAAACTAACGAGATCTACACGAGAGCAAAGACAGATTGGCTAGAGTTTGTTTTTTTTTTCCTGAAGAAAAAAATACCATTCTCCATTTATGCGCCTCATGTCCTTTGGGGACATCCTGTAAAGTTACGACGATATAGAGAAAGAAGATCAGCAAGGATGACACGCATAAGCTAGAAATGGTCCAAATTTTTAATAATAATAATAATAATGAAAAATTCGTGTCATCCTTGCCCTGCTGGTCGTCCTCGCGCAGCAGCGAGATGGTAGAACGGAGAGAGAGAGAGGAAAAACGACAAACAGAGGCAGAAAGAGAAGGAGAAAGCAGATCATAGAGAAACCTTGAAGACGACAAGATCGGGATAATCCGAGAATATTATTGCCCTACCTCCCCCTTTCCCCCCTACACCCACACACACACACACACACACACACACACCCGCGCTCGCTCGCGCACACACAGAGAGAGAGAGAGAGAGAGAGAGAGAGAGAGAGAGAGAGAGAGAGAGAGAGAGAGAGAGAGAGGAAGGACAGAGAATGGATTTGGCCTTCAAGGACCAGCATTGAGAAACTTACCCCGCAGTGTAATTATCTCTCCCTCTCCAAAACCCTCTGGCGGGTTCGAAAGAACTTGTCGCCAGGGATGGGGCCTTCAGCGTCCTCCGCTCTCCCACCCTCTCTCGGGTGTTCGCCTTCGTGCGAGCGAGGTGAAACTGTGACTGACGGCAATTTCTCTCTTTTCACTCTCACTCACCCACTCCTCTCCCCTTGACGCTACCGGTAGCTTTGCCTATGGACGGCCAAGCTCGTCCGCGTGAGAGGGCCTCGCCGCAGTCTCTCGCCTAATACACAAACGACAAAATTGTGGTGATGTATCGTTTTCAAGGTTCTACTTGAAGATTCATTCTCCCGTTGTGAATTGGTGAGCTGTGCCGCAGGATCAACCCGCCCAGCCCAGCCCCACCAAACCCCGACCAGACCCGACCAGCACCTCGACCAGACTTGACTAGACCAGAGCAGACCAGATCAGACCAGGCCAGGCCGGCAAGTCTGCCGCCACAGAACTCAGCCGGCCTTGCGCAGCTTTTGAGCTTCTGGAGGCGGCACCGCCGTTTCTCTTCCGCTCATGGTCCTCTCTGCACTACTCACCAAATGTGCAAAATGAGAATGAAATCTTCCCCTAGCACATGGGAAGATACCATATCTTTTGTATCTGTGCATGTGGTAAGTAGTGAAGCCCGCCGGCGCCATAGTATTTCACATGGCGCCCACCCCACAGTCCGTTGACGCCGACGGTCGAATTTTCAAAACGAGCTTTTGGCGTTAAAGAGGCCCTTCCTGACCATTTAGCGCTAAAAAGCCCGGGGCTACAGCGGCGGGGCGCGCGACGCGGGCATCCTCTCTTTCTTCGGAAAGGGCGAGGGCCATGCGATATCATCATTGTCTAAAGGTCTTATCCCACCCTACTTCGGCTTGGATCCCACTGTGGTTAGTAAGGGTATTTTTAAACTTGAAGGGACACCCATTTCCAGGGTGTTTTTAAACTTGAAGGACCACCAGTGGCACCAGTGGGATCCAAGCCTAAGTGGGGTGGGATAAGAAATCGCAGCATATCTTTTTTTTTTTTTTTTTAAACCAACCCCGCCAGAGCTAGTGCTGCTGATACGAGCAGTCACCACTAGCACCCAGGGGGAGGAGCATCACCTGCTGGAAAGCGGGTCCAGCGTCCCATATACAGATCATATACAGAGTCATTTGAGAAGTATGGTTATGAGGCCTGCCAACATTGATTGCCCTGTCTCCCAGGGGATTGACTGAGCAGGTGTGTGTATCCCATGTGACTAGTTGGATAGTAATAAAGCCTTTGTCCTCCTTATCTCTTCACCCCCCAGAGAGGGGCGCCAGATGACCCATTAAGCACTGATACCACTTCAAGGAGAACTCTCTCCGGCTGCTCTTGTTGTCAAGGTTAGCAGGATCCTTCCCCAGGGGGCACCAGGAAGGGTTCCTTTTTCTGCAGATCAGGACAGTTCAGAAAGGGTTCAAGACAGGATCTCAACCAGTCACAGGGCATGTGGTGGAAAAGGGTCCTGGAAGTCTGAGGGAGGGCGTAGCGGGAATGAAGGTTCTATATTAGTCCAGTCCTTAAAAACCAAACGATAATCTCTCATTTCATCTACTTCCCGTGTCTCTTCTCTTCTGTCCCCGCTCCACTCTACTTTTGCTATTCAGCCCTCTCTTTCCCCTCCTATCCAATCTGTGCAGAAGCTTGTGATCCGTCCCCTGATGTCTCCTGTTTTTTTAAGGTCTACTAGCTGTGACTTTGTGTCCGACCATCTCTGCGTAAGTTCCAGCTGGATCTGCTGTCGAATCTGTTCCTCAATCTCCGGCTCCTCCACCCGTACTTTTTCCATGGCCAGAATGCACCTTTGCCACCAGAGTGCCCAAATCACAACCCTCCTTCCCAGTCTATACATATTTTCTACAAATGTCGTGGCTGTTGCTGCTGGCGGCCAATGGCCTGCCAGTATAGCCTGCCATGTCCAGGGCCAGGGGATGTCTGGTACCATTTTTCGCCAGATGCAGTCCCACCTTCTCGATGTGAACTGCGCTATCGGACATTGCATAAAAAATATGCTCAATTGTCTCCGCCTTTTTGTAGAAGGGAAAAAGGCTCTAACATCGCTGGCACCAAGGGAGCAGTAGCCCCCTTTGTTCGAGGTTTGAGCGGTTTGTCAGCCAATCATTGGTTGGGAGGCAGCGGTGAGCTATCTGCCACTATAGAGAGGTGACTTTCATTGGCTTAGATTTTTGTTCCTCAAACCATTTAATCAGGGAAAGGAGAGAGTCGTCCACGTTCAAATGCCTAGCCCATCTGTCATTAATTATATCTTTCAAGTGTTTTTTTGGTCTGAGCATTTTGTAGGCAGATTTAACCGACATCTGCCACAGACTATTGTGACCTATTTCTGCTGCTCCTCTCCTTTGAGGATGTTGCCAAATCCATTCTGTTGGGTCGAAGGGCAAATCATGAATGGGTTTTTCTGTCTGGAAGGCAACCCTTGCTTGGGCCCTTCTCTTCTAGGACCCTTACCCTTTGTAGGGTCGTTTTGTCTCTCCATACTAAGGGTGCCCAACTTCCTTGGAGAACACCCGTTTTAGCTATAGCATAGTCTTCAACCAAGGCCGTCTGCGACGGCGCCATGTGGATCAGGCCCAAGCTCGGTGGGACCCCCGTTCTTACCACTCAGTCTCCTTCTTTCAGGATAGGACCTCGTTTGAGGATCCGGTACCAATCCAGCGGTATCATTTCTATAATTTTTTCCAATGATTCTTCCACATGGTGGCAGTATCTTAGGATATCGCGCAATTGGTCCCCTGTTTTCCAATCCTGCCTGTCATTGTCCCAAAGGTGCCCTACTCTGAGTATTCCATTTTTTACCCAACATTTTCAAGGCGAAGATGAGTTTGTCATGACACAACTCCTCATGTCTGTTACCCATCTATTTCCAAACAGGGGTTGGCGATAGATTTCTTCCCATCGGTCAGGACATACCTTATCTGGGAGCGACAGCTTCCGCCAGATTTGCAGCAGGGATAGCCAAAAACTATTCACCCTCTGCCCCCCTTCTTCTGAACCCACCCTGCCGCATGGGAGTTTTCGTGGGATTGCCCAGAAACGATCCTCCAGCTAGGTCAGCGGGTGGACCGTACGGGGGGTTGTTGGGGCCAAGCGAGCCAGATGTTCCAAAGCTAAGACGCACCATGGGTTATGGGGAGTGAAGATGAGTTTTTGGATCCATTTGATTTGCAACGCGTGCACTTGCGTGGCAGGGTCAATTATCCTCGGACCTCCCCATGCTTTTGGTTGTATGACTGAGTTTCAGGCCACACAACTTATTGTGTTGGTCAGCTCTCCATCTCCCCTCCATAAGAAAGTCGTTGTTTTTCCTTTAAGGCTTCTTAAGGTCGGTTTGCTTAGGGACCACAGGGGGGATTTGTACCATAATGTTGCGAAGATCACATTGTTTAGCACCATGGCACGCCCAAAGAGGGAAGTGTGCTTATTCTTCCAATTATTTAATTTATGTTGGGTCGGGGTGCCTATCCATTCGTCATTTATTGGTGGCCGCCCCTCCGTGGTCATAAATACTCCAGGATCCTCATTGGGGTATCTAGTGGTTTCCATGCAATGCATGGTAATTCTGGCGGACGCCCCCCTTGGCAGTGAATCCACCAGCCCTGTGTCTTAGACCCTCAGTTCACTCTCATGTCGGATACCCTTACAAACCTTTTCATCATCTGGTGGATTTCCTCCATATTATGATGTGTGGCTTCCGCCATAGTTGTCAGGTCGTCTGCGAACAGGGAGCACACCGGGATCGCATCCTCCGGGATGTGTGTAACTTTAATTTTGGTGATATTTTTATTTGCCCGAAAGTTAGCAGCTAAAACTTTCATGATGATTAAAAAGAGGAAGGGAGTGTTTGGGTTCCCCTGTCGCACCGAGCGTTGTAGCTGTATGGGTGGTCCAAGACTCTCATTAACTTGGACACACATAGTGGCGTTTTGGTGCAGTATCTGTATCCATCGTCGAAAGATCGGTTCAAAATTCATTTTTTCTGGACACTTGTCCAAGAATAACCACTCCACATGATCATAAGTCTTTTCAAAGTCGATAAAGACTAGGGCTGCATTCTGACGCGAGTGTCTCGTTAGTTTGAAGGATCTTATGGATTAGCAGGATATTTTCTTGTATATTCCTATTCTCCATGAATCCCATTTGAGCGGGGCGGATGATGTCTTCCATAATTGGAATTATCTTGTTCGCAAGGGCCTTAGACAACATTTTATACACGACTGTAAGTAGTGTGATTGGTCTGTAGTTTCTAATGTCCATTTTGTCCCCCTTTTTGTATAGGAGGGTTAGGATCCCTTACCCCACCCGTTCCCCAATTTTCACGGTGAGTCAAACCTCGTCATAGAAGTCCATTACATCTTGATTAATGAAGTCCCATGTGGTTTTCCAAAATTCTTTTGGGAAGTCGTCTATCCCTGGTGCTTTTTCCTCCTTCATTTGGAAAAGGGCAGTCCATATCTCACTTTTGGAGAGAGGGGCTTCCATAGAGTCACGTTAATCGGATGTTAAGGTTTTGTTCATGGGTTCCAAGAATTCTCTTGTCAATTGGTCGTGGCATAGGGCATCTGATTTGTCTATGTATGAAGAGAACATGTCTTTGTAGAAGTCAAATGTTATTTTAGTACAGCGGGCTGTGGATATGGGCAGGTCCGCATCCTCAACTCTGGTTCGTAGAGTCCTCCAATTGTTGTCCCCGAGATGTGTGCTTTAGATGTGCTAAAGAAATGAGAATCCATCATCCTCTCAGTAACGAATTTAGATAGCCTTGCCCTTGTTTGGGCTCCTTGCCATCTATATCTTGCATGTTCAAAAAGTTGGTTTTTCAAATCTTGGATACAGTCATGAAGTTCAGCGGTCCGCTGTTCCCGCTTTTGCGACATTTGTTCATGTTCTGCCTCTACTAAGCTGTGCATAATTTTAATCTCTTGTTGGTATCTCTGAGCAGCTAGTTGCTTTGAGAATTTGTTGTTCTTTTTTGCCATGAAGAAAAAAACGTTGTTGAACCAAGTAACCTGCGATTCTTGTTGTGGGCGATAAGATTTTCAAAAGTCTCAAGCCTATCGTAAGTATTTCTGGAAGGATTTGGTTCGAAGCAAATAATTATTTAGTTTGTAGTAGTTGGCCCCTTGGTC